CCATTTGAGCCCCTGGGAGCAAGGAAATTCGAAAATGACCATTTTAAGGACCACCCTAATATATATATATATATATATATATATATATATATATATATATGACGTCGTTCATAAGTATTAAATAATTTAAAATACATTTATAATATATTCTATATATCACAATCAATAAATTTTGATTTATTGTAACTTAGAGTATGTTACGAAGCATCTGTTACAATACCTCATTAAAAAGATTTGTTCGAATGTGATCTCATTATTCTAATAAATTTTTGTAATGTCACCATGTTCATGAATATATCAAATTTAATGAAATGAAAAATGTAACACTCACATACAGTAATAGCTAGAAATGTATTTAAATTGCTCGTTGCAATACTCCTAAGTCCAAAATAACTAAGTTTTCTAATTATTATTTTCAAGAAAATCAAGATAAAAAATATAAAAAATAACAGAACGATTTAAAACTTGTTTTTGCCAATAGTCTATATTATTTTAACAATAATTAGAGCGTAGTTCTGTAAACCATGCATTTGAAATACCGTCCCTCTACACATGATTGAGGTAATGCCAGTGGACCCACTCTATATGGCCATGTAAACTAGACCGCAATTGCCTAAAGACTCTTGCTCTCCTAACCTAATTCCAAGTGGATTATTGTCTACACTGCATTACTGGGACATATAATTATTATGATCTCGACAGAGGATAGCATTCTGAGTCTCTATTATGCGTTCATATCATTACCCACAATATCACATTAATTATAGTATTTCATATGACTCAGGCTAACCCTGTATGGCGCCACATCAATCAGAATATGGGTAATTAACACCAAGCATTGTTTCTACGATAAGATGTATATCGGTGGGATATAATTTACGCGTTTCATATGCTCTACAGCGCGTTATGTGTAATTTACGGCCGCGGCGCAGGCGGGCGTCAGGCGTCGGGAGCAATTTCCGAGAACTCGTCTCAGACATCTAGACAGACAGGAATAACGGTCCATGCAATTTGCATCAAGTATAGATTTTATTGTGCGTTATTTTGCTATTCCTATTCACACAAATAATATTTTGAGAGAATTTTATACCTACATGGATTTGGAATCTCTGATATATGTAAATATGAAGAAATATAGGAAAAAGTAATAACAATTATAAATATAATGTAGCATTTTGCAAAAAACTATCTTGGCTTGATGTAATACATGTCAATTGAATAAGTGATAATTCATTATCTTTATTAACTTCCCGTAGGGTAAGTTATTGTAATGGGCCAAAAATCGAAATTGAAAATTTTTACATTTCTCGACGTTTTGAAGGTTTAAGAAAAATTGGATGTGTGTGTGTGCGTGTATGTATGTATGGATACAAATTTCCAGTCACGTTTTCGGGCGCACGGATTAACCGTTTTGAATTGTTCAAAAAACATTCGATTCCTATTGATAGGGAGAAGAGCTGATTAGTTTTTGGCAAAGGCAGATCCAGCGGTTACGGAGATAAAGAGCAAAGAGTGCAGAAAATAGAAATCGAGTTTTTGAGAGAATGGAGCATCCGATTTGAATGTTCTAAAAACATTTAATTAGTAATGATTGGCAAAAGTGTTCATCAGATTTTGGCAAAGGCAGGCCCAGCCATTTCGAAGATACGGAGCTAAAAGTGCAAAAAATGGCAGTTTTTGAGGAAACTAAGCGTCCGATTTAAATGATTCAAAAAACTTTCTGCGTCTCGGCTTTTATTTCAATTTTTTTTTCACAAAAAAATTTTTTTTTTGTATATTGAAAATAATTCAGATTTCATTTTTAATTCTGACTAAAAAGTTCCAGCAATTTGCCTTAAAGCACGATGCCATACACCTAACTAGTTTTAATTAATTTTCAATTTTTCAATTAGGTACAAATTTTTTAGTATAATAATATAAAAAATTTTAAGAATTGATTTAAATAGTATTAAAATTTTATAACTCTATTCAAAACAAATTCAATGTCAAATTTATATAAAAATTCGTTATAATATTTTTATCTAAAATAATATTTTGAACACACAAAACCGTTTGCTAGGTTTTGTGATTTCATTGCTCATGCTTCATAAACATAAAATTGAAATCAATCAATGATGTATATCATTCTCCTATAAAGCTATCTCTACTCTATCTTCTCTAATCTCTACAATCAAATTCATTCATTTAAGTTTAAGAAAACTCAATATTTGAAAAAATAAGGTTTTCAATTTTAAGTGAAAGGTTCGCCATCCAACGTTTTTTTTTTTAACCATATAAAAGTTAGGCAGCCATTTGAATGAAATTATTTTACATTATTAACCAGAACGATTAATGCTTTAGAACTAAAAAAAGAAAAATTTTTAGTAGTTTTTTCATTGTATTTTCAAAATCAAAGTTTTTTTGCGGACCCTAGATTATATAAATGACATAATAAAACGAGTGAAAAAAATTTGCAAAGTTAACTTCTCTTTTTGCAGGCTAATTTTATCTTATATGTCGTGCTCAGGATGGTCTTAATAAAAACATAATCACTATCAATGAATATTAATCCTTCAGACTCTGCTGACAATCACAACCTTCGCTTTCTAAATCTGTGGTCCACCTGTTCTTATAAGTAATTTCCTAGTTACACCAATTATAAGTTAACATGGTAAAAATAATGTATTTGTATTCCATAATTTTTAAATTGCCATTATAAAAATATTTATTATTGCAAACCCTGTTCTACAAGCAATACAAGCAATGAATTACATATTTAACGAGATGTAACCATCGCCGACCCCCTTTGACATTGCGAAGAGAGAAGACTCAGGGATCCAGATCAGTTCAACGAACGATACGAAATGTTTGAAATCCGTATCAAAAACAACCAAAAGCCATAGTATGCACAGAACGAGGATTTGTGTCACAAAAGGACATCGTCGCTTGTTGGGCTGCTTGTATCGACATCATAAGAGGATCCGCGCCAAAAACGAAATTTAATGCGAATATTGAATAACAGCATAGAAGCCCCCGGTATGAATTTTGTTACGAAGCATATTAAATGAAGGTTTACCACGAGTCGCTGGGAGTATTTGTGGAAACATAAGGTTGTATATATTATAAAATTGAAGGAACATGCTTTTGTTTTTGTGTTGTTTTCAATTATGTTTTTACTGTGCTCTCAATTTTGTACAAGGTTATTATTGTGAGTTGAGCGAGTTATTGAAAATAATTCATAAGCTGAAATGAGTTGAATTTACTATTTATTTTTTTTATTAACTTCCCGAAGGAGCAGTTTATGTTTTCATCAAAAAATCCGATTCGCTAATTTTATGTTTTTTCGACGTTTCAAGCCATTCTGAATCGAATGAGACCAAATTTGGAAAAAGTATGTGTGTGTGTGTATGTGAACAGATTTTTTGCCATAAATCGACGTTTTCTCGAAAACGTCTGGCCCAATTTCAAAAATTTTAAAGCCATTCGATGTATCTCGACGAGGACTATCGTTCGTCAGTTTTGTGCGACGATCGGCTGAGACGTTTCTTTTTAAATAGCAGAAAAGTGAAAAAATTTTCGTCTTTATAAAAATTCAAAAACCGTTCGAAAGATATTGATTGGGAATCATGCTGATTAGTTTTCGGTAAAGATCGGCCGGGCCGTTTTCTTGTAATAAAGTGTTAATTTTTTTTTCGGCGACTTTTATTATTATTTTTTTGACGGTAGATACTATGGTCTTCTAGCTAGATCATACTAAAATATTACGGCCCTACGACAATTGGTTTAACTTTGAAAATTCGTCAATGTTTGCAAAAATTGGTATCGTTTTTTTGGCATTTGTCAAAATTAGATCTTTCATCGACGTTTTCTCAAAAACGCTTGAACCGATTTCAGAAATTTAAAAGCCATTTGATGTATTTCGATGAGGACTATCGTTTGTCAGTTTTGTGCGACGATCTGTCAAGCCGTTTCTTTGTATTTGAAAAAAAGTGTTAAACTTTTCGTCTACATTTAAGCTCATCCTACCGAACCGATTTTAAAAATCAAAAAGTGTTCGAAAGATATTAGTTGGAAATGGTACTGATTAGTTTTAGGTGAAAATCTACCGAGCCGTTTTCTTGTAATTAACTGTTGAAAAAAAAATTAAGCCGATTTTTATGGAATTCTTTTAGCGATATATATCATGGTCTTATAGAACTTACTGTAATATTATGATCTTACGACAAGTAGTTTAATTTAACAATTCATCAAAGTTTGAGAAAAAGAGTAGTTTTTTTGACGTTAGCTAAAATTAAAATTAGACGATTTACTTGGTATAACAATATAGTACTTGGTCCTAATAAACATATTAAACCATTAAAATCCTACGGAAACTGGTTCAAATATAATAATTGTTGATTTTGGAAGTTGCTTTTTGAAAATACTCCGAATTAACGTGTTCGATCGTTTTTAATTATGTGTAATAAATCCACTCATAAATTAATTTATATTTTATTGTTTAAGTCGATTATTTACATATATCGGCAAATTCATGTGACTTGCCTCAAAGCTAAATACCAATACCAACTAGTTTTATATTACAATAATTTCAAACAAATGAAACCAATAACGCCTGCTCTTAATGTCTAAAAACTAAGTATTTTGAAACTAAAAATACTAATAAACTATTAAACAATTCATTGACTAAGATCCACCAACTGTAATAGTGCATAATATTGTAACAACTTGTAATTAAATACAAGTCAGCATTTAACACGTAGTATCCCAACCAGTTTAGTAAGTGTAAGAATAATATTTGTAATTTGTATCACGTTCACACCAATACATAATGCAATCCAGCCCAAGTATCTACAACCACAAATTCTTTATTTGATTGCGCTCCCAATACAAGAGTTACACAAGACTATCAATTATTATAGCTTGCATTTACATGTGAAGTGTCGATCAAATTGAAACACATATGTTTGTAATATCATTGTCAATTTTATGATAGTCAAATCCGTTTGTAGCATATGTCTGACCTGTATCCAAAACGGAAGGTAGAAACCGGTACAACACAACATCGCAGCGCAAAATGACAGGCAGGCCCATACCACACCCACGGGTGTTAAAGATGTCGCCATGGTTCCTGCAATCAAATACAAAACGATATTATTCATAAGACAAGGATAATATGACAATTATAATACGATACGGATATAGGCTGGCGTGAAAATAAATTGAGCACTCAAATATACATTTATAATAAAGTTTGTTTTTTACTCTTAATCAGTTGGCTCTTGGTGCTGTGAACATATTCAACTTAGTGAACTTAGAGCTTAAGTGAACATATTCAACTTATAGAGCTAATTGCATAAGCAAAGAATAAACAGTCATCAGCATTAAAAATATTTAATAAAGCATTTTCTTGTTTAATATTGTATAGGCTGTACATTTGCTAGACTTATCAATCAAACTTTGGCATAAAAAATATGATTTTAAACAGTGGCACCTAGTACCGGACATTTCAAAATAACTTGCATTGATTACATATGTAGCCATCTCCATACTCTGGAATGTTTGCACATGTGTCTTTGACGAATATTCTTAGATATTACAAAAAACGTCACTATTCATCCGCCCTTTTGGCTGGGCCACACCGATGCTCTCAGCTGGTACATTCACCTTAAGCTTTCATTCTTTGACTAAGAAATACGAAAAATGGGGTTACGTAGTGACCGTTAGCACTCATACAGAACAAAATTAAATAATTGGAATAAATTACGTGAATTCTCACAAAAATATCAATATGTTTACTGTCCGGCACTAAGGGACGACTTAGTGTCCGGTGCTAAGGGAGGGACATTTTTGTTCATTTGGTGGCACCTACTAAAATTGGTTAAAAGATCTAATAATATTCTACCATTTTACGGATAACAACCAAGTACAACTTTTATCTTTGCATACCACTCAAATGTAAATGCATAAATATGCTAGAATTACTTCCATTGATATTTAGGTGACACCGTGATTTTGCGCCTAAAACAGGAAAGGGTTGCTCTCGCCGTGGCCGTGTGTGTGCCCCCGATGCCCCTTTCACTTGTATTTTGAAATGAAAAGATTTATACCCGCTTAAATAATACGTGTTATATAGAGTGTCCGTTGCTTGGTGCCGTCCGGCGTTACGGGACTTCCCCTTATACAATCTTGCATAAGTTATTAGAATCTTTGGTGATAATAAATAAAAAATGCTTAAGAAATAGTAATGAATATGAATGAAAGCAGAATCTTCGCTCAAGTTAGTTGTAATACCATTTCGCATTACAAAGCGTTTAATTTTTTTGCACTTGCCTTTCTTATAGAACATATTTTTTATAGTTTTATATTTAATAATGCTCGAGTTTGATATCAAACGCATACTTGCTACATTATTTAATATCAAAGATCTAAAAATGTAATAAAGGTGGGTGATATATTGTTTAAATTGAAAATGACTATATAATATTGCGTAGATATTATAAAATGATATTGAATTTTAAACAATTTAGTATTTACTGAAACATTTTATATCACCAACTTATTTGTCACTAACCAATGTAATGTAATTAACAAAATTTTTACCAACGTTGTATAACATGAAATAATATATCGTATACATAATTTCAAAATAATAGCTCGATATCAATAAAATGCTATTTTTTTGATTTTGTTAATTTATGCATGTAAATTGTTCAAAGCTGAAAACACCAATCCACAAATCCCCATCAGATATAATTAAAAATAAAATACTACACATTTTGTTCCTTAACCCCCATCACGTCTTTAAGCTGAAGAAGCTTTATATAATTATTTAATAATTTTAATAAAATACATATTTACATAATACTAATTTATTTCTCATTGGTAAAAGTTATGACATTCTATTATTGGTTACCCTTCAGTTAGGAAATGATTCTTATAAAACCCCCCGAAAAGATTCAAAACAATAACGACAGGCAATGATATTCATTTAAATGTACTCAAAAAATGAAATGTAAGCAGCTCATATAAATCACATTTATTATTAATGAGAACGAGAACAAGCCCGCAGAACCAACACGCGCGACGCTACGTAACCACCACGAGAGATTTAAATAAATAGAATATAAAAATATATACCTACCCACTGGAAACGGCGGCGATGCATATTTCATTTAAAATTTAAATGACGCGAAACAATTTCTGGAAGATTTACATTCATAATGTCAAAGTTCTTGGCGGATAATATAAATACTGCAGGCAAAGAAAGTAATTAAAAATAATGATAATTAGTTATTGCGTTCGCTTCTCTGTATCAAGAACAACAAGACGCGAACAAATAGTTCTATAAATAATGTTGGCTGGCTCAGATGAAATAAAAATTATACGTTTCTTCGCATTAATTACAACTGCCATGGGAAAGAATATTGCGACAAAAGTTCCTTGTTGGTTCACTATTGCCGCAGACGAAAGGACCTAAGTCAACGATGAAAAGGGTGCTAATTCGGTGTTAAAGATATGATCATGTGAAAAACCAAAATTAAAATATTCATGGCATTTTATCACAATGCACAATAATTTATTTGTTATACGTATATTAAAGTAAACCAATTTTAATTATGGATAACAAAAAGAAATATTGTTTTAGTACATCAATCGTAACACATCCAAAATGTATTGTGGAAACTAAAATGCGGTCAATTTAAATTTAGATTATACTTATCACACGGATGATTTAAGTCGAAATTTACTAGTATTTAAATTCGACCAAATATCAATAGATTTAAATTAAATTTAAAAACGAAGATGTGGCTTGGCATTGTATATCTTTATCAGACACGGAAAGAAGTTGTATATGTTATTTTCCACGTGTTTTTGTTTTGCTTGTTTGGAGACGAGAAAAACAGTTATTAGGTTTTCCGGTAAGGAAAAACGGATATGGAAATGGCTTCAAGAATATTTTTAGGTATGAATATTAAATATTGTAATGTAAAATTAGTAATTACACGTGAACAAAATGATTCAACAGGATATGAGATAAACGTCGTAGTCAATGAGAATGAGAAGTCTTCGCTTAGTAATCACAGAGATTTATGGATATATAAATATCACGTCAATTTAATGATTAATAGTAAATTTGAAATATAAATGAAAACCGATATTAGCATACTTTTCAAGAACTAAAATAATACTAATCAATACTACTTCTTAGTAAATAAATTATTGTAAGTAAACTAAAACTGAAAATTGCAAATTCTAATAAAATCTCGAATTTTAATAATTGCTTATAATGCTATATTTCATATTATACTATAAGTATAATATTATATGAGAATAGCTATTCGATTTCAATAAATTAATGTAATGTATAGAGTGATTAATCTGCATTGTTCAGAACAAAGTTGATGAAAACAGTGAATTTTAGATTTATTGCTATACGTTAACTTTAGAATAAATATGATTCACTTTTTCAATTATAATATTTGATAAATTATTGTTATAATTATTAAAAATATAAAAAGCACTCAAGAATGCACAAGTGCAATTGTGCCAAAAGTATTATATTTTTTTCTTACGTTCCTAAAGTATGTAAATATATTTTCATCTGATTTAATATGAGGTAATAAATATTATTGAATAACAGACTGATCATCTAATTTTTTAGGTAATTCATATATGAATTACTTAAGAAATTAAATAATCTATCTGTATCTGTAAACGTGTATGTTACTGAATAAAAAATATGTATAAACGTGTATGTTTGTACATATTTTTTATTCAGCTCTCCATTTTTAATTAATATTCGAAACTAAAATTTAACAAACGCCTTAAAATTAATTATTAAAAAACGTATTTATTTCTCACAAGAATTTCCATTGTAGCTCAATTGTACCAAGCAACAATTTTCATCCTAAATTATATGCTCAGCACAACATATACATTTCATGAACTAATTTCATAGTATTTAGAACTTTCTATGACCAATAAACGGAATGATATCACGTAACTATCACCAAGTTTCGAATAATTTGGCGAGTAATAAAACATTTTACGAGGAGAGCGTCTATAGAGCAATAATATGTTCTGATGGTATATTACGCGGCGATCATATCCTTTCAGCGGTATGCATGAAAAGTCGTCAAAAGCTAATAACTTCCAGATACTCCGATACATTGTCGTTTCACTGCGCGATGGCCACACTTTCATTCAGTGAGAGCTTTGGCAGCTTTAAAGCTGCAAAGCTCTAAGCCACTCAAAGACGCATTATACACGGGTTTGTGAATACCATTGCCGGTAAAGCGAACGCGGCGCGACGCGTGACATGGGGACGTCGACCCTACAGGTGTGTGGTCATGCTTGTTTGATTGTGATATACAATTTTATATCTCTCGATATATGAACATGATTGTTAGACGCGGTAGCAATAAAGTTTATAGCTTTCGAAGAAATTTATGTGTCGTTATATGATATTAATCTGCATATAATTTTGCAGTTATAAAATTTATAATTCATGCTAAAATACATTTGCAAACACACACACACACACCTACACACACACACATATACATGTCTGATTGTCAAAATTTTTTAACTTCCCGAAGGAGAAGTTTATGTTTTCATCAAAAAATCCGAATCGCTAATTTTATGTTTTCTCGACGTTTCGAGCCATTCTGAATCGAATGAGACCAAATTTGGAAAAAGTATGTGTGTGTGTGTGTGTGTGTGTGTGTGTGTGTGTGTATGTGTGTGTGTGTGTGTGTGAACAGATTTTTTGCCGTAAATCGACGTTTTCTCCAAAACGGTTGGACCGATTTCAAAAATTTAAAAGCCATTTGATGTATCTCGATGAGGACTATCGTCTCTGAGTTTTGTGCGGCGATCGGCCGGGCCGTTTCTTTGTAAATTGCAGAAAAGTGAAAAATTTTTCGTCCACGTTTTAGCCCGCAATTCTGAATCGATTCTGAAAATTCAAAAACCGTTCGATAGATATTGGTTGGGAATCGTGCTGATTAGTTTTTGGTAAAGATCGGCCGGGCCGTTTTCTTGTAATAAAGTTTAAAAAAAAAAATTTTGACAATTTTTATGATTATTTTTTTGACGATAGATACCACAGTCTTCTAGGTCATACTA